TAGGAAGAATAGAAATGATACTTATAAATGACTAGAGATTTACAGAATCAATTTTGGGAAAGATAAAATAATTAGGTGATAATTAGGAAGAATAGAAATGATACTTATAAATGACTAGAGATTTACAGAATCAATTTTGGGAAAGATAAAATAATTAGGTGATAATTAGGAAGAATAGAAATGATACTTATAAATGACTAGAGATTTACAGAATCAATTTTGGGAAAGATAAAATAATTAGGTGATAATTAGGAAGAATAGAAATGATACTTATAAATGACTAGAGATTTACAGAATCAATTTTGGGAAAGATAAAATAATTAGGTGATAATTAGGAAGAATAGAAATGATACTTATAAATGACTAGAGATTTACAGAATCAATTTTGGGAAAGATAAAATAATTAGGTGATAATTAGGAAGAATAGAAATGATACTTATAAATGACTAGAGATTTACAGAATCAATTTTGGGAAAGATAAAATAATTAGGTGATAATTAGGAAGAATAGAAATGATACTTATAAATGACTAGAGATTTACAGAATCAATTTTGGGAAAGATAAAATAATTAGGTGATAATTAGGAAGAATAGAAATGATACTTATAAATGACTAGAGATTTACAGAATCAATTTTGGGAAAGATAAAATAATTAGGTGATAATTAGGAAGAATAGAAATGATACTTATAAATGACTAGAGATTTACAGAATCAATTTTGGGAAAGATAAAATAATTAGGTGATAATTAGGAAGAATAGAAATGATACTTATAAATGACTAGAGATTTACAGAATCAATTTTGGGAAAGATAAAATAATTAGGTGATAATTAGGAAGAATAGAAATGATACTTATAAATGACTAGAGATTTACAGAATCAATTTTGGGAAAGATAAAATAATTAGGTGATAATTAGGAAGAATAGAAATGATACTTATAAATGACTAGAGATTTACAGAATCAATTTTGGGAAAGATAAAATAATTAGGTGATAATTAGGAAGAATAGAAATGATACTTATAAATGACTAGAGATTTACAGAATCAATTTTGGGAAAGATAAAATAATTAGGTGATAATTAGGAAGAATAGAAATGATACTTATAAATGACTAGAGATTTACAGAATCAATTTTGGGAAAGATAAAATAATTAGGTGATAATTAGGAAGAATAGAAATGATACTTATAAATGACTAGAGATTTACAGAATCAATTTTGGGAAAGATAAAATAATTAGGTGATAATTAGGAAGAATAGATATAGGTGGATTTGTTAGGAATTGGATTTGAAGTGATGGCGTGATATAAAAGTGATACCGGTTAATCAGGATCTGGGTTCAGAGTGAGCCTTTACATAACTTGATATCCTTCAAATCACCAGAGAGAATTAAAAACGTTAATTAGATGGATAGGCAAACGTGGATCCTTTTGAATCCCATGATATTCTCCGTAATCTGCGATACTTAATAAATCCTTTCAGCCTCTAAATCCCCAATACCATTCATAATCCACCTGAAATCATTATCCATCCAAACCCTTATATTTTCTATAATATCTCGTGTCTAGAATTTTGTGAAATCTCGTATCTCGTTCTCGTATTTTTTTGAGAATCTCGTATCTCGTGAATCTCGTGCTTCGTATTTATTGGGACTCGGCCCACTCCTGGTCCACAGGCATCTCTGGAAAAAATAGTGGTACCATTTGACTCAGCTGCACCCTTTATTACCCTATGTATATATGACATGTTAAGTATTAGGTAATTTAGGGGGTGGGCAGAACGGAAAAGTTATTAATAAAAAATCTATTAATATAAATTTTAATAAAAATAATTATTTCAAAAATGGATTTAAAAATAGATATTTATTTAGTTTCTATATTATTTAATTTAATTAATCCAAATGATATTTGCAATAATCCAAATATTCTTATTGGATATACAAAAAAATAACAAATTATAATTAATTTAATAAATATTGAATTTATTAAAGACAACGAAGAGGAAGTTTATTTGTGATCTTTAATGACTCTAGAATATTAAAATTAGTGGCCGGTTTTAAAACCGGAAATTATAAAATTTTTTGCCAAAAATTTTATAAAATTTTAAAAATCGAAAACCGGAAATTTATGAAAATAAGCGATTTATAAAAAAAACTCCCAAAATAAAACCATTATTTAACTAAAACAAAAAACCGAAAACTGTTTTTTTAATTGGGATTGACCGAAAAACTGGGTACCGGTTAATATACTTACATACCTTACATACATAGGACATACTAGATTTTAATTAATTAAATACCATTTTCTTCCTCAATTATTTAACTACATATTCTGTAATCCATAAGTTCTCTAAAAGAAATTTTTGTTTTAATTAAGTTATACAATTTTTAATTTTCCATCGACCATATTCGACCTGCACGAAACGTTCGTTTCCTCGTTTTAAATGATTTTTAAGTTAAGTTCTCTATCTGTTCGTTATTATATTAACCATAGTTATTGACTTTTTTATGAAAAAGAGCTGTCAATTAGGGGGGGGGGAGTACTTCAATCCCGAATCTTATTTTTGTTGAATCCAAAGAATTAAAACTTTAAGGAATTTCCAACTGAAGGAAATGAAGGAGAATTAAGAATTTTAGTTAATTTTAATTTAAAAAATCAGTAAAAATTGAAATAAATTGATAGAATATTAAATGAAGAAGATAAACTTTATTTAGTGCCTTCATAGAAAAGAAGTTCTAAAGATAAATTTAGTTTTTGTAATTATGGAATATTTGATAATAACAAAATTTATATAAAAAAAAAGATATTAATTTAGATTTAAAAAATTATTTAAATGAAGAGGTTGATGAGGAATATAGCCATGGATTGGATATCTGTTTTAAAAATGAAACAAAAATGAAGTATAATACTTAAATAAATACAATAATGTAAATTAATTAATGTCGCTTTTTAACTTTCACTTTAAATTTCAAATAACAATTTCTTCTTATTAATTGTTATTGGCCCGAGACCAGAGCTGTTTATATTTTTTTAAACCAAAGATGTATAAACAGCTCTGGTCTGTAAGTATGGTCAAAAAATAAAAATTTTGTTTTCTAAAAAAACATAGATCTTAAATTTAAGGCACTTGTTAAAATTAGACCTGTTTTTAATGAATTAATTTAAATAAATATAAGAGATGAAAATGAAGATTATTTAAATTCAAATGATATTGTCCTAGGAAAAACAACAGAATATCCAAAAATATTATTAATAATTTAAAATTAAAAGAAATTAGTGGAAAAGGAGCAAAAAATCCTTTTTAAAAAATTTGCTTTAAATTTAATGGAATTGAAAAATATTTTGTTTATATTTATAATCATCTTTCAACACGTACATTTTAAATTTTTTTGTTAAAGTTGAAGATGCGAATAAAAAAATGTTTACAAAAATTTTTTGTAAATACATAATTATGAAATAGTAGAAATATTACACGAATTAGATGAAAGGATTTCTATTGACATTGTTAAAACAAAAAATAAAGAAATTATTGAAGATTGAAATATGATAATTATTCAAGAAAAAAATTTAAATTATAATTATGATATTTATAATTCCTATATACAACCATTGTTTGAATCGAAAAATAATTAAATAAAATAAATTAAATTAAATTTGACATTTGCTGTGATCGTCGATTTATTTGCATTTTCTTGCTTAGATTCAACATCTCTCATAAATTTTAGTTTATTTTGTGCATATTTAGTGAAGCCTATTACATATTTTCGAACCTATTTTGCCTTTTTTAGCTCTTTTATGCATGAATGCAGATTATAGAGAATGTAATAGGGTAATAGGTAATAGGGTCCAGCTCTTCAATGCCCTATTATTTGTTTAAGCAAACTACTAGCTAATCTGCGCGTTCGCAGCAATGAAGACTTATTATACAAATATTACAGAGTATCATAAAACGGTAAAACCACGTATTTTTCTGTTTATATAAGATATTATAAACATTATTGGCCATTATATTCACAAAATCTTAGAAAATATTTTACTCAGTCGTTTTTTATCGAAAACGGGTGTTAAGAAATTATAAAACCCATTTATAAAAATTTGTTTATCATATTAAAAATGCTTGAAAAATCTGCAACATTTTCTGTAAGCATTTCTATTGATAGCTAGTAGAATAGTAAAAGAACGAAGTCTATAGATAACCTTTTCGTCGATATCTCGAATCTCTCAACGGAAAATGGGAGTATAGCACTTCAAAAGCTATTTACACGAACATGAAGCTGAAGGAGAGAAATAGCTATAGCCTAGCTACTTTACTGCTCTAAATGTGAACTTTCTTTTCCTAAAAGGACTGGGCTGATCTCGACATTCCAGAAAGAATTATGTTTTTGACTTAAGGATCTTCCAAAATTTTCAAACTTTTCGCCTGCGGCGCAAAAAAGGACGAATTTTGGCCTTTGATTTATATTTTTTCCATTAAATCTCAATTTTTAATGATTGATAAAAAAATTTTCTACCCCTTAGGGCAGACACTTTACTCGCAACTTTAATCTGCGCAGGTTCCTCTCTCTTCTTTTTGATTTATGCGGGAAAACTTGATGGCCTCTTTTTTCCCCAGCGTTGCCTAACTTGCCAGATAGACACTCTAGCGCACTCGTATTTTCCTTTTCACGTTGTTAAGGCTGAGTAGCCTGAATTTTTTACTATAAAAGACTAAAATTTGGGTTTAACCCATAATATAATTTTGTACTATTTCGGTAAGTGTGTGTGCTTGTGTTCCCCTTTTTTTATTTTTTCCAAAATTTCCCTCGATTTGCCTGAGGCAATTTATTAATCAAAAATGGATCAGGGATTTATAACCGGAAATAACTTTTCATTAATATAACTTAATTTTTGAATGTTTGAATAAATTTAATCCATTGCTGATTGATAATATGTTAAATGCAATTTGATTGAGATTTTGGAAAAAATAAAAAAGGGAAACCTAAAGTAACATTTGCCCTTTTTTAGTTTCAGCTATTTTATTTTGGTGTTTATTGTTGCCTGTTTATTCATGTCCTACGTGCAGATCTCTACTTCAACGGAGGCAGCTTCTCAACAGGTTATAAATCTTCAAAAATATTTTCAACTTTTTCGTTTAGTTGGTAACTGAAATGAAGGAATATATCACCAAAATTGGAGTTGGAGAACAGATGATTAAGGAAGGATTAGAAATTGTTACAAACAACAAAAACCATTTGAACAATTCAATTGCTGCTTTTGAGAGAATTGTGATCGGTAACGTAGCAAAATTGTTTGTATTTACTGCTGAGGACAAGTATTCTTTGTCTAAGAATGGACTTCAAGTGAAAATAAGTAAGTCTTGAATTACCCCTTGATTTGTCTAAAAATTTGTATTTTTTAGATGAGGATGCACAATATATCAATATCAGAGGGTTAGCTAATTTAATTGATGACAAGAAGTTCAAATATTTTGAAGTTTGTTTGGACAATTTTGAGTAATTTCTTTTAAAATTATTCTAAAAATAAATTGATATTTAGTTTTGCTTCCGTTGGTTTGGCAACTAAAGATTATTCTTCAACAGCATTTGTTGGCTTCTTACCGTCTTCGTGTTCTATTGCAAGCGATGGGAATCTGTATGTTAATGGCACGCCAAAAAAAATTCTGAAAGATGGATTTACCTCAAAATGTACAGTCGGTGTTGGAGTTAAAGAAGTGGCTCAGCTTCTTGATTGTATTTATTACCGCCGTAAATATGTCTACTTTAGTGTTAACGGGGAGAAAATCGGTGAGTGATTGAATTTAAAAAAATGTAATTTCCCTCAAATTTTAGGCCGCAGCATTCCTCTTAGTGTGGATGGACCTTTTCCTTATGTCTCAATTCGTGGTCTTGGGGCCACTGCTTTCTTCAACTTCGCGATAGGGAGTTTGTCTACAAAGAGGGAGGAAATAAATAAAACAATATAAGTGGTTGAAGTTTGTATAGGTATATAATTATTGTGATTTTTTTTATTGATCATCAATATTTGTGTTTTTTTAATGATCATCTAAATCTTTCTTAATTATCGTCTGTTTTATTGCTATTGTGTGTGTGTGATTGTTTTTGTGTGTAATTGTATTTTTTATTGCAAGTGTGATTAATTCAAAAATTAATTGGAGACTTCTCTCCTAAAAAGTGAAAAAACACTTACAAAAAATTATATCATCCTGCACAATTCTCATTTGAAAAAAATTTTCTCAACGAAAAAGTTAAACCATAGGCGAATTCATCTCTGTCTAAATTCTAGTTGAAATTGAAAAAAAATTTTCGAAATAATATTTTAGTTTTTAAAAAATCTTACAAAAAACAATAAATCACTATATTCATTAAATTTTAACAATAACTAAAAAATTCTTTTTAATTTTTCTCTCAAAAAAGTGTTCGTTTCCATCGACTTCTCTCATCTAATTCTCTAATTGTGCCTTTAGGAGAAACACTTCTTATTTGCATTCTATTTTCTTCGTCTGTATCTATTTGCTTTTCAACTCCAAATTTAGTACTTCCATTCCTTCCATTTATTTTTTGACGAAATCCTTCTTCCTCCAAATTTGTTCCAACAACATTTGCTCGGCCACCAAAATTTTCTAAAAATTTGAAAAAAAATTTTGGGATTTTTTTAATTAAAAAAAATTATTTTTAAGCTGCACAAAAAATAGAAAAGATTTTATGTCTTAAAAATCCCAAGATTCATTGCAGCAACTAGCTGCCCCAGTTAATGCAACCATCTCGAGAGAGTTGCCTTTTTGGTGTGGTGGGATAATGTTGAGTTTATTGAGGGAAAATGGAAGGAATCGATCCTATTCAATGAAAAATAATTTTATAATCCAGTCTTCTTTTTGCTCAGATTCTAATTAAATTTGGTTGGCAATTGGGCTCGGGGAGCTGCCCAAGCAAACACATAATTTTAAATACTCTCATTTTTGAGGTATACAAAAATGAGGTCCGATTGTTTTATTTTCCTGGTCCCTAATTGTTATAAAATTCTAGATACATGATTCCAGCAAAAACATTCCCCCCTCCTTTCCCCCAAATAAATTCCAACCATAATATTGTTGTTGTCTATTTCCTTCTCTATAAGGTGGCGGGGGATTAAACGATTGTCTACTAAATTTATTTCTTCCTTCTTTATCTTCCATTCTCCATTCTTCTTCCCTTTCTTCAATTTCTTCCTCTTCTCTAGACCAACTAAACCACGGAGATGTTGGAATTATTGGAAGTGCTGCATGATGTTCAAAACGTTCAAAACCATTACCAGAATCTATTAATCTTTGATTTCTTCTGCTTTTATCAAAATAGTCAATTCCAGATTCGTTAATTGGGGAAAGTGGGGATATTGGTGTTGTTTGAGCTGATTGGTCTGTAGAAAATATTTTTCGATCTTTTGGGAGTGGTGGAAGAGGAGGTGATGGAATTGGTGGTGGTATTGGAGAAAGTTGTGGCGATTCTTCCTTAATTTTTATTTTTATTGAAGGGATTGGCTACTAAATATTTATAGAAATGGTACACTATAAGATGCCAACTCATCTCTGAAATTATGCCATGAATCACAGGGGGTTTTGGGATCATTTGTCTTCATTGAGATTAATTTTTAAAGATTTAATCAAATAGTCGAACTCCGTCGGAGGAGATAGTAGATGTGTGGCATAGGTTGATTGGGGATAAAACTTTCCTAATATTCCCATTCCAACTAGTCACAAAATTTTTTAGTCTTAATTTCTCATCTACATAATTTATTTTTTTATTCAACCCTCTATATTTCCAAGAGTGTAATAGTTTAAAAAAACTTCCAAAAGTGTTTTTAAAAACTAAATTCTATTATCTGTAAATTACCTTCTTTTGTGGAAATATTCGTCCTTGTTCTTTTCGCCTTCTAATTGCCCAATAAATACACAATCCCAATAAACAACATAAAATCAAAAGTAAAGCCAAAAGGCAAAGAAACAATGGAATAAGCCAAAAAGAATCATTATCTCCATTAGAAGGGCAAGAATCTCCCCACAAAAAAGGCATCCAACACCCACTAGAATATTCGCCAGTAGAAGGTGGAGGAACTGGAGGAGGCAGTAGAGGAGGTGATGGAGGTATGGGCAATGGGTATTGGCAGGAAATTGTCATAGCTAAAGACGAGAATGATTCCAATAAAGGTAGACGGCCACATGCATTCTTTAAAAAATTGAAAAAAAATTTTTAATTATTAGAGGAAAATGAATTTAATTTTTCCTTTATTTTTTTTAAATTTAATTTCATTTTTTCCTTAAAAATATTTGAAAGGAGGCAAAGAAAGGGGAGAAAAGTTTGGAAAAAGTTGGAAATAAATCTTGGAAAAATAAAAACACCCAAAAGATCACCTAAGCTTTAATCAACGCCTGAGTATTATGGCTTATATTGTGCCTTATATGAATTTATTTTTAAAAAATATTGAAAGAAAAAATTGGAAAAATTCTTAAAATGGGAAAAAAGTCCTTCAAGATTATACTTAAAAATTTACTTAAAAAATTTTTTGATAAATTTTAATTATTAAAAATAAAAATTCAAACATCACAACAACCACAGCATTTGACAACGAGTGTTTGACAGTCAAATTTTAACAAAGTTTGGGGAGCTACAAAATGAACAACTAAAAGAAATTAATTAAAATATTAATTTTAATTCTCAAATACCAATATATTTATTTGTTTCACTTCTCCATTCATTTTTATTTAACCAAAAATTATCCCTTCGAAAACAACCTCCTCCCTGTAAAAATTGAAAGATTCCATTGCAAGTACAACTTTCTACTAAAACATCCCAACGACCAAAAGTTGGCATTTCTAATACTAAACTATATGCTCCTCCAATCATTATCTTGCCTTTAGAAAATTTGGAAAAAATATTTTAATTAAAGAAAATGAGGGAAAGCCATTTATTGTACTTAAATGCCTTGGCTTTTTTAATTCATAACCTTTTTTTAAATCTCTCCTTTTCGGTTAAGTCATATATCATTCGAAAGCTCTAAATCTGAGCTTTATTTTACTTGAAGAGACCATGATGATCTGAACATTTCCCAAAAAGTTATGGTCAGTTAACTAAAGGTAGTCGCGATTTTCATTAATATCCCCCTACAAACTTTAAAAAAACTTTAAAAATTCTGATTTAATCCTAATTATAAAATATTTTTAAATTATGCCTTGATATGGTTGTAATTGTTGTTCCCAATTATATTCTAAAAATTGTTGTTTAGGCAGAAATGAAGGGAAAAGTATGTGCCCCTCACAAATCCAAATTTTGGGTTCTGGATGTGTTAAAGCTTTAATTGAAGGGAAGAAAAAGACTAGTAATAAATTGAATAAAATAAATAATAAAGAGATCATCACTTCCTTTTTTACTAAAAAATAGGGAGTGATCATTTAAGTTAGTTTTTACATTTGCGGACAGATTAGGAACAACAGAATTGTCTCTAGGAGAAAAAAAATAATAAAAAATGTCTGGGACAAGTTTAATATATTAAAAATTAAACTTGAAAATAAAACTTTATTTGAACTGAATTAATTAAAAATTCTGATTTTTAATTCTGATTTTATATAAAAATAAACTTGAAGAGAAAATTAATAGACAAGCATAAAAAGGTTTATTTTAATTAAAATTCTGATATTAATTCTGATTATATAAATAAACTTGAAGGTATGTATAAAAGGGAAAATAAATAGGAGAATTAAAGAGGGCATTTCAACCTTCCTTCCCTTCTCCCCTCCTTGTTATTTCATTAATTGTCCGATTACTTTTTTTAGTTTCTGTCCATCAGAAAAATAAACGGAAATGTCGATGATTACCTTTTCCAGAAATAAATAAAAATAATATAAAAATAAACCAAAAAAAGGGGAAAAAATCTTTAAAAAATGACCAAAGAAAAATAAAAAAATAAAGCCAATGAACGAAAAAAATTCGTAATAGCGTAAAAGGTTTTGTTGGTATTTTTAATGTATTTTTTAAGCAAAAATAGACAGGCGGGGGGAGAAAATGTTGTTGGAAAGATGCGCCAAGTTTGTTTATTTGTTTGTTAAAGTTTATATTTTTTATGGAAAAGGTTGGAAAAAGTTTTTCTAAATGTTTTTGATATTACAAATTATTGGAAATTTTATTGAAATAAAAAAAGTTTTAATAAACTTATTATATTGGTTGTGGATTGACTGCTGGTTGTGGATCAGGAATTAGGAGAACAAATTTCTGGATGTTAGCTTTTTAGTTATACTGTCCAGCAGAGAAGGATACTATTAATTCTGAGTAATGTTCCACATGGTTTGGTACTACTACAAACCAACTCGGTACTCTCAAAACCAGACCTGAAAAAATCCGTTTGACGAACACTAGTTATAAAAGTTGATTTAAAACCTTTTATTTGGGTTATTCTGTCTGTCTTAATCTCACGTTTTTGAATTATTTTTTAGATAATTTCACGAATTGAAAAATTTAAAAAAGAAAGTTTTTCTTTTTGTGGAACCCCAATTATCTTTTAACTCTTTAATCTTCAGTCATCAAATTTTGACTGTTGCCTTTATTAGAGAAAATATGGCTTAAAATCTTGATAAAGTATAATTAAATATTTTAATAATTTTTAAATATTTTTAAACAAATTATTAAAATAAAAATATTTTTTTAAACATTTATTTTTATCAAATATAAATTTTTATTCTTTTTCAATTTCCAAAAATTTTACAAAAATATTTTTTGCTTTTCCCTTTGTAGTTAGTTTTTGAACACTTTCTTCTTTTGTCTTTTTTTGAATTTCCAATTCATTTCTTCTGTTCTCTTTCAGGTTTTTGAACATTTATGTAAAAATCAAACTACTGAAAGATCGATAACCAAAAAATATACAAATGTTGATATAAACTTTGGTGATCTTTTGGAATTATTTTTCAAGTTTTAATTATTTTAAGTTTAATTTTCCAACTTAGTTTCCAACTTTTTTCTCCAACTTTTTTTTCCAACTTAAAACTTGCATTTTCTGATTCTCTAACCTAAATCAAACTTTTCTCTTTCTTTAAATTAAACAATTGGAATTACCAACTTTTTCTCTGTTTTTAAAACTTGACAATAAATTTACATATTTTTCCAACTTTCTTTTTTTTTCTCTAACACAAAACTTTAATTTATTTAATTTCTCAAACCTAAAAAGGAACAAACAAAACACCTTTTATCTGTTCTTCTTTTTATAGCTTCAAAAAGCCGCTTTTTCGTCGTCTTTCCCTCAGGCGAATATTCTCCCCTTCAATTCTCTTCTAGTCATAAATAATGCTTCTGTTTTTTAAACGGAAAATATGCCTTTTTTCTGTTTTTAATGTGATCCGAAGGTAATGGAAGTGAAGAGGAAGAAGAGGTGTGAAGTGGACGGCTCAGACAAATAAATATTGTCTCTAATGGTCATACAAAAAAAGGAACAGACAAAAGGAAGGAAGAAAAGTTGCATGTAAAAAAACTTTCCGTTTAATTATTCTGTTTGGCTTCTTCTCTCCTTTATTTTTTCTTCTTAATCTATCCATATTTTTCCATCCATTAAAAGAATTATGCAAAATTATGCTACATTAAAAGCTTCCATCCAAGCATTTTTAGACAAACTTTTTTAAACACTTTTTTGCATATTTGGGCTTCCACTTAATTTTTAGATGATTTTGAGGTGTTCTTAAAGCAATTAAATTATTTCCGGATATGAGCTATATTTAATATCCAAGTGCTCGAAAAGGAAAATAATTCAACTACCGTATTTGCTAAAATACTTATGTACACAGGGTAATTATTGTTCCAACCTCTCGCTGGAGGGTGTTTATTTGAGAGAGAGACACTATTTCAGCATTTACGGTATCCGAAAAAATAAAAATAAACTAAAAAAATTTACTATGCGATATTTAATAAATTTACTAAATTAGTAAAAAACTTATAGTTGAATTAAAAAAATTTTTTTAAATTATTTTCTCTTTTTTAATTTTCTTCCTACTATATCAAAACAAAAGCCGTCATTTCCTTCAAATCTCAGCATCTGCTGGATCAATCCTGTCTCATTTGGATTTTAAGAAAATAAAATTAAAGGGTTAAATAACGGTCAAAGAAGCTTATCCAAATCCTTCCCAACGGATTTTTAATAATAAAAAATCATTTATTCCGCCAGTTAACGAGTTTTTTTTCTAAAAATGAAGGTAGAAGAGAGGTTTATTTGCTTTAATATTTATGCCATCGATGGAGATAAAAATTGGCAAAATTAGAGAAAAGTAAAAAAGAGGAGAGTGAAAGTGGAGGGAGGGAGGGATATTTGAAGAGTACACCACTTACCTGAGAATCCCCCCCCCCTCCTGCAGCAAAACTGCGCAGAAAAAAATTTTCTTTCCAACGAGACTTGGCTTCACTCAAAAATTCTTCGTGCTTTCCCTTCACTCCTGCGCGGATTGCATCCTCCTCCCCCAATTTTTTTCCTTTTTTTGTCCTTTATGCCCGTTGACCTGTGGTTTGTGTCCTACTACTCTCCCTCATTTTTTACAATTTTGAAGAACAACACACCCACAATCATTTATGTATACATCCCTCTTCCCTTTACCTTCACATTTGCATTTTTCGTCCATTCCGCCGGTTTCTTCTTACCTTTCTTCCCTTATTTTTCTGTCCATTTTTTCTTCAATGCACACATTCAAGGCCTTCCCGTACAAAATACTAAATATTTGTTCTATCCACAATTTTACCAATTGGCCACCCAATGTGTCACACAGAAAGCGGATGATTAGAAAAAAAGAGTAAAAGCCCCTCGCCGACATTTTTGCCTTTTGCTCTACCCTTTTAATAAAATATTCTTGTATGCACGAATTACAGGGTGTTTCAGCTGAAAAGCGCTAATTGAAAAATCCATAACTTTTTACACCATGGACAGATTTGAATGAAATTTGATATTTTGCATCTATATTTTATGGCAATTTTTTTGACATAAAAATTATGTCGAAATTCGAACCCTAACCCCGTATTTCAATTTCGTACAATTTCGTACTCTACCGTTCTCTTTCCTTTCTCTTTTCATTGCGCGCTATCTTAGTGCATTTATTTTCCTGCGTATGGCGAAGAGTGGATACTGTATTGAAAATGTAGTGTCTATCGCTTAGTGTTTACTCTAGTGTCTATCGCCGCTTGTAACAAACAAAAGAAAGTAAGAATGCATGTGCGGAAAAAGGGAAAAACAGAACGATAGAGTACGAAATTATCTCGGGTTAGGGTTCGAATTTCGACATAATTTTTATGTTAAAAAATTGCCATAAAATATAGATGCAAAATACAAAATTTCATTTAAATCTGTCCACGCAGTAAAAGTTTATTAATTTTTCAAATAGCGCTTTTCAGCTGAAACACCCTGTATTTCCCCTCTTTACATTATTCTGATCGATCAATAACAGAGTTGGCTAAACTGGTGATTATTTTTGTCAAAATTCTTTTGTACACACAGTGTGTGGTTATTCATCGTTCTACATGGAGACATAAATTTAATTTTCTTATTTCCAGTAATTACCTCTACCATTTCTCGTTATTCAAAGCTCCTCAACTCATCTTGAACAAGATTCTCTATCTTCTCCCTTCTCTTCAATACCTTCTTTCTATTTCACTCTTCTAGGACCATTTCTACTGGTTATACTTAAAGCTAAATAAGTTGATCAAGCTAAACAGTGATTACTAAGATAAGGTTACCCCAAGACATCGGAAGATCATTCCCCAATTTTTTGAGGAACAATACAAAATTCAAATATTTATTTCCAGTCTTCACTATTCATTTCTTCCTCCCTAATGACTGTTCCTCGTCCTTAACGACTCCTTTCCTTTTCCCAAGGTCCTTTTTTGCTTCTTTTTTTCAAAAAATAATCCTCACTTCGACAAAATAATTCTTTTCATCCCTTTAACTTTTTTTTCAATTTTTCAACTTCCAATCATCACACACAGATTTTCATGCATATATATTTTTATTTTTATCTGTTTAGTAGATCTTCAATCCTCCTCCCTCCTCCCTTTCTTTTATTTTTTTACACCTCTTCTATATTTTATAACTGCCCTCATTAATTCTATCAAAATTGCAATCGTCGCGTATTTGTTTGAGTCAATCGAGGCAAAGAAAAGATTTTTTTATTTTCTCTCCACGCTTTCCACATTCCTCAACTTTATTTATTTTATTCTTTAATTTTATATTCTTCAATCTATTCATTTAATTAAAACAAATTTTGTGTCCATTTTTTCGATCGTTAAAATAGGGAAAAATTTGGGTAAATTGAAAGACTAAATCTGACACTTCTTGATACTCCCTTTTGCCTTGAAAGCAGAGACGAGTCGGAATTCCGATTTTCGACGTTTTTTTCCTTCCGATTTCCAAAAAAAATTTTAATTTCCGATTTCCTAGTTCCGACATTTGAGCCAGTTCTGATTTCCGGCTCTTCCAATTTCCGACACCTGTGACTGTTCCAACCCCCACCTCTGCTTGAGAGGGAGGAAAATGGCTTAAGGGTACACAAATGATTAACTTTAAATTTAAAAAATATTTTGTAAGTGTCCATCAAACAGGCAGACACTTAATCTGTTTTGGAAGGAGTATGTATCAGTGAAAGGAGGAAATTATTAGTTTTTTTATCTTCAAAAAAGGTCAAGTATCATGTTGCTTTTCCCTCAGAAAATTTTGTTTTTTTAATCCTCGGAAACTCCTTTCTATTTTCTAAAAATAATTTCCTTGTTTTTTCTTCCACCAAAATTTGCCCCGTTTCAGACGGACACTTTTTCTTATTCCAAAAAAAAATCTCAAGCATTTTTGAACTTTTAAGAAATCTGAGGATTGGTTGTTTAATTGGTATATGAAAATTTAAAAAACGAAAGGATTTTTATCTAGCAGCAAAATATATCCATTCAAATTTTTTTTGGTGTTCAATCTTATTCGCGCAACATAAATATTTGTTTGTGTGTGAATATCATTTCTTTCTTTAATAATTCTTCAAAGCATTATTTTTATTTTATTTATTTTTCTGATCGATTTTAATAATTTTTGAATAGAAATGTGTAAATAGAAATTAAATGGAAAAGTTTTTTTTAATTTTTTGGTTAAAGTTGCAGAAAATTTAAAAACACAAAAAAGGATTAAGGAGGGATTGAGAGATTTAAGAAACTACTTTAATATTGTTGGGGACAGTTTTTTAAATTTTAAAGACCAATACAGTTGTATTAATCATGAATAAAAATAGAAATTGAATGAGAAACAAATTTAAAAAATTTTTTGTTTAGGAATTTTTTGAGCTTCGATCAATCCTCAATCTCTATATACCGTAAATGCTGAAATAATGTCCCTCTCTCAAATAATTACCCCCACAGCCAGTGATCGAAAAAAATAATTGCCCCTCTTAAAAATAGTTATAATTAGCCTTTTTTTTAAAATCTCAAATAATTACCCCATCCATTTTAATTACCTCCTCCAGCGAGAGGTTGAAACCCTTGGGTACTTTTAAAATTTTAACTTCTAAAATTTTTATAAAATTTATATTTCCTCCTCCTTCCCTTCATTATTATTAAATCCAAAAATATCAAAAAAAATCTCTCATATCACTAAAAACTGATTTTTTTATTTCTTTCTTTTTGTGCGCAAAATATGCGAGGAGAGCAATCATTATATTATTATTTATTTATTTTAATTTTTCTCCAACAAAAATAGTTGATAAAAAAATTTTTTTTGATTAAAAAGGCAACGCAAATAAATAAATATATCATTTATTTATTTAAAGATTTGACACAAAAATAAAGTGTCAATTTATTTTTTTTCGAAGAAAATTAAAAAAAAAAGAGAAGGAGGAGGGGAGGTGATTCTCTTTAATGAGAAGAGATTAATTGGAGAGACGTTAAATGGAATTTTTAATTTTAAAATTACTTTTTGTTTTAATTTTGTAGGTATCAAATTTGTAGGTATCAATTGTATCAAATTTGCCTTCGTTACCTTCAAGTTTTTAAATGAAAAAAATTTCAGAACCAGAGTAGAGCGCCAAGAGCCAATTAAAAAACCTAAATAACGCAAAACTTGTGCTCATTCAGAACAATAATTTCAGAATTAATTTTAGAAAAAAATTTCAGAAAAAAAGGAATAAAGAAATAAATTCAGAATTTAATTTATTTTTCTGGTTTAAATAATTCGTAAATTCTGAAATTTTATTCTGTTCTAAAAACATTAAAAATGAGAATTCTGAAAATGGAATTTTTGTTAAAAATAAAAAGTCAGAATTACAATTCTGAGATACATAATAAAATTAGAAATAGGATTATTAATAATGGAAACCAGAATTTTAATTCTGATTTGTAAGAGAAAGAGAGTTTTTATTTTTTAGAAACTTTAGAATTAAAATTCTGATTTAAAAATTTTGATTTTTAAAAATCGACTAGTATTTTAATGTTTTTATCTTTTTACATAACAAATTTTTAATTTATTCTGATTTTTTCTACTTTTATCTCAAGTTCTAAAGGAGCTAGAAAAATAAGAATATCATCATTCTTTTTCCATCAAAATCCAACACAAAATGAATTCTTCTCTAAATTTATTATTTTCCTCCAAATTTAAATTTTCTTCGCTTCTCAGGATTATTTTTTGTTTATTTTTATTTAATCAGTCACAAGGTGGTTTTTAATTTTAAATTATTTAAAAAATTATTTCCTCCCTTTAAAAAAGGTCAGCAACATTTAATGGCACCTTCAGGGCCTTCTTCTCTCCAAGTTAAAATAACCTCCCTTCCTTTACACGTTTCTTTGGCTCAACATTTGCCCCAAATGGTTTTTACTGTTGTTGGTAGATTTGCAAATGAAAGGATTTTTTGTGTTAGTGAATCGGTAAGAGGGTGGAAGATGTAGTAAGAGAATCTCTCTGTCTTATCCCAGAACTTTCCAATTTATACCAAACTCCTCTCTGACTTATCCCGGAAAGTTTCAGTCATGATCTAGTCATTTAACACGTCCTGTATTTCCAAATAAACCAAGTTTTGAGTTATTCCATAGCGAGAAGGGGGTTGGATAAGATAGAGGAGATTTTTGTGATTATTATGAAAGTTCAGAAAATTAATTTCTATCCTTTTAGCCAGTCTCTCAATTACGTTTTATATGTGTTGATTGTGCACAGAGAAATATTACAGACATGTAAATTAACAAAATTTAAATTTCAAAAAATTAAGATTTTGTTTTTAAGGTTTGATTATCTAAATAGAGCACAGGATATGACACACGAAACTGGATTTCCGGTAAAATTTTTTTGACTTTTTGTTGTTTCTTTGATTTGGGGGTTTTCTTTGTGTCGGCACTTTAACTGTACCGTTTTTTTTCTAATTGAGCGGGTATCTCTAGTTGAACGACCATTTCCAATAGAGCGGCCCTTTGAGAGGGTATTGAAAAATATTATAGCAGTCGGCTACTCAATTAGAGAAAATAAGGTATTTTTGCTATTTAAACTGATCTTTTCATAGTCTCCTTGTTAACATTGTTGCAAGATCCTTGAAATTTTTTCTTGATTTTTATTAATAATTCCGAAGTTTTTTCAAAAAAAATTTAATTATTGGTTTGTTCTTTTTAATTGTTTTCCTTGTCTCTCTCTCGACTTAAAATTTTGTAATTATTCTAATAAATAAATATAAAGGTCAGTCAAGGTCAACAATAATAACTACCACCTATTTTGTTTGTGTTTGGTCTCCAATAAAACCTCCTTCCCCCTAAAATCTATTTTTTCCACTCCCTTCTTTCC